TGTGTGGGATGAGTTGGAATATTACATGGACAAAATTTTTAGCCAGGTTATTTGTTGTTGGGTGGTGCTATAAAGACAATCTTTTTGTCCCACCTTTTTATACAACTTTCACATGTTATTAAATAAGTGGATACATTCAATATCACGAATCTCACGTAAATTAAAAAAACTAATCATTTTAATGACATATCAGATTGTACAAAAAAGGTAGGACAAAATGGTTATCCCAATAGCATTTCCCTTTATTTTTACCCAATTGTCAATCTTTCTTGTAAAAATTTTAAACACGTCATGCTTGTTCCGTCAATTAATGTGAAAAAATTAACAAAATGACCAAATTGAGGTTAAAATGATAAACAGTAAGTATTAAATCAAGAATTTTTTGAGTTGAGAGACTAAATCGAAGATTCGTATAATAGTTGAGGAACCAAAATGAGAGTTTAACCAAAGAAAAATGATACAATGCTCCCTTCTCATTGGTTAAACAATTGGGATTGTATATATATATTTATATATATATGCCAAGAAAATAAAGAGATTTTGTACCATAAGACATTACCTTGAACACTAGTAAGAAACCACCTTTCACTAACTTTGTGAATTTTGCAAAATATCCTTGGTTGTAGTGACCAAAGACTCAAAAGGAAAGTGCTTTGCTCCTGTTACGCTATTTTGACTAAGTCATCTTCATTATATGGTACATAAATTTTGTAACTTCGATGACAAAATGATACTACATGCTTGCTCTGTGTGTGCGCATCCGTGTTGTGCAGGCACCATTCAACTGCACTCAAAAGATGTGAGTTTTCCACACCTTATTACAAGAACTTCGTTGAAAACAGGAGACTTTGCTTTTATAGGATAAGACAAAGTGGTTAGACTTGTTGGGAAAGAGGTGATAAAAGGGGGTTAAACTGGTTCAAGTCTCGTCTATAAATGAGAAAGCCTTCCACAGAGTGTTGATCAATTGCCTTGAAGGCCTTCCTCAAAACAAGAGACCTACTTAAGATCAGGTCAAGTATCAAGACATAATCTAATTGATGAAAATGAGAAGTGTCTTTTAGGTTATGTATTGTAGGGACTTGGGAGTTATAAATATTCTTTGCTCAAACTATAAAATAATGTGAACTTGAGAAGCTTTTGAGAAATTATGAATAAATAATTTTTAATAATTATAATTTCTACTAAATGATTAAGAAATACTTGATTCCTTGATATGACTTCCTTAATCATTTAGTAATAGTTATGTAAAATATATTCCTAACTCCTCAAGTTTAATAATGCCGATTTATATTTATAGTTTGAATTATTAAAAACTATATATTTCTAACTTTCCATAAAAGTTCCACAATTATAATTTATATTTATATTTTGAATAATTAAACAGTACAAATTCCTAATTTCTCGATAAAGTTTCACAATTTTAATCTGAATTCATAATTTAATTTAGGAAAAATCATTACTTTCAATCAACGTATCTGAATAATTTGTTTGGTTTTTAGGGAGACAAAGGGGAGGGAATGGAAGAGAAGCAGAAGAGAGGTAGCTTGGTAGCTTTATAATTTGATTAGTTATAATTATTTTCCATCACCTCTCCTCCCATCAAACCAAACAGGAGGTTAGAGAATCTAAATTCCAGGTTTAAAAGAGTTGCCCCATCTTTTCCTTCTGTATTCACCCTACCACTTTTCCTAATGAGAAGACAGGTGAGGCAGAGGTTCAAATGCGATGAGAATAAGGAATAAAAGGCATGGCAAAGTTTGATTCTTCCAGAAAGATGGTGGATTTATACAGACTGAAAACAATTTGTACATTAGATGATAAGTAGAAGTA